TTTTCTGGTGGGTTTCGCTTTGGTCTGACCTCTGATGACAGATGGGTACGATGCTAGCGAACTGCTGGTAAAGCATTTCAAGCACATGCACTGAATTTTCGAACCCGGAGCAGCATATTTATCATGGTGTGGGGCTGCATCAGCATCCATTGGGTGGGCGAATTGGTAGTGGTTGATGGAAACATGAATCACTAGAAATATATCGATGTTTTGGAGTCAGGCTTGCTACCATCTATAAGTAACATGTTTGGTGACAGGAATTATCCATTTGTTCACCAGGATGACAATGCTCCTTGTCACAGGCCCAGAGCACTTGATGATTGGTTTGAACAACAGGACATTCACAGGTGATGTGGCCTGCCCAGAGACCAGATGCAAGACCGGATGCAAACATACCTGTAATAGAAAATGTGTGGAATAATATGTCAAAACTTTTGACAAATGACCGTCTAACCAGTAGAGAATAATAGTTATATTATATAGAAAATAGTTATATTCAGTGTTTCACGCTTGGGCCAGCATAATCCCTGAACTCATCAGACAGTTATATGAAACCTTGCCTCATAGGCTGGCACCTATTATTAGGTCACTTGGCTAAGCCACAAGGTACTGGACCTGAAAGTGCATATTTTGGTAGAATGTATACTTGGTTCTCATTTTGTGATTTTTTTGTGAAATTTGATGTTAATAAAATGATACCAGGAGCATAATATTCCACAGTCATTTATCTCCCCATAGTATTGGAGCAGTAGGGGAGACACTGCTATTGTTCAGTGTGTGTACTTGCATTTTTTACTAGATTCTATTTTAAAATGGAGATATTAGGCAGTTCTCTGTGAACATTTCATTCGCCTTTGGTGTAAATATTACAAAGGATTACGCAGTGCAGAGGTCAAATGTCTGATATTAGGGACATTCTGTCCAGCTCTTAAGGAATTATGGGGTAACATTTCATTAAACAGACTTGTAATTATTTCTGAATATACATGTATGTCTCGCCGTCTACAGGAGACACATGCAGCACTTAGACATTAGCTTCTAGATAATGCAGTCTGATGCGGATAAAATATATGCTCTTGTTTATAATGTACATAAATTTGGTGATAGTTGGCGGGGTCTTTTCACTGAATGAATATTTTTACCTCTCCGGAAATCAATATAGAATATCAGATAAGATGGGCATGAATAATCTAAATCTGCAATGTGGTATAAGATATGGATTTTCACACTGGTATTTTGTTTAATGTACCTTAGCCCATGTTGATTACACTGTCTGCAATAAAAATATTAGAGACGGTTAACAGGTCTGATGCGATCATTTGTAAACGAAAGCACATGCAATTGGAGGCGTGAAAACCTTTTTGATAAGTGGATATGTTGTAATAGAAATATAATAAACATACAAAGAAAATTTTGTAATAGACTTGCATAGTTGGTTCTGATTTTTATTCGAATATTAAATGTAACAAATGTATTACAAAACATTTGTTTATTTATATAAGCTGTGAATACCTGTAGCTACGATGTTAATTCAAATGTCTGCCGGGCATTCTATTCATAGGCGTCCGATTTCCAACAACTGTACCAGCACAGCTTTTTCTGACCGTACCATTGGCGAATCCACTGGGGCAAAGTAAGCCCTCTCCCTCATTTCTTAGCAACGAAACCACATGTGGGCATGTATTATCCTTACCCCACTCTTTCCCTAACAGACAAAACCAGTCAATATTCCAATTCATGCGCTCTGTATTACAATAAAATTGTCCTGGGCTCGGAATCTC